GGAGTTCATCAACACATGATATTCCACGTTTGATATTAACTCATGCCATGTTACCACGAGCCAGGAGATATTGCCCCAAGATATTGTGTGACTTTTTCCAGACAAAACCATCTCCTACTTTACAAATGCATTAACAATACTTTTAAAAGAACATCTCCTCCTGAAGGCATCAATTCACCAAATCCTACTTTCCAGGCTGGGTCTAAATCTGAAAGTTACTTTAATTGAGCACAACGTTTCTGTGCCACCTGTTATCCCCTGCAGTGAATGCAATTATGTGAACTGGGTGGAGGCTCCCATATCACATGATGGAGTGGTCAGGGTCTGAAAATTCCCAACAATGCTTACCTAAAGAGGACTGAGTACCCGGCCCTTTTAATCTCTTCCTAAAGTGCTGTTCACATCTGCTAAATGTCATGTATACCTGAGCAAGATATCACAACTAGCTCAGTGTAATGTGAGTCTGGGAGTAAATAGTGGCTCTGTATAATGTGAGTCTGGCCGTAAATACTACCTCTGTATAATGTGAGTTTGCAAGTATTTACCTGCTCTGTGTAATGTTAGTCTGGGTGTAAATACCAGTTCTGTGTAATGTAATGTAAGTTTGGGAGTAAATATTGGCTCTGTGTAATGCAAGTATGGGCGTAAATACTGGCTCTGTGTAATGCTAGTCTGGGTATCAGTACCAGCTCTGTGTAATGTGAGTCTGGGCACAATGATCACTAAATCTCCTCAACACTTAGTTAAATACAGCAAAACTCATAATAATTCATGTCTCAGTTGGAAGCGCTGTATCCTGGTAAATACACCGCATTTAGAAAAGAAAACAAAAATGAAATAAATTATAATCACCCGACAAGCTTTTTGGCGCAGAACAAAGCATCTAGGGTTTTTTTTTTCGTTCTGTGTAAAGTGAGACTGGACGTAGCTACTAACTCTACTTAAAGTGAGTCTGGGCAAAGATACCAGCTCTGTGTAATGTGAGTCTGTGCACATTTACTAGCTTTATGTACCGTGAGTCTGGGCATAAATACCAGCTTGGTGTAATGTGATTCTCGACGTAAATACCAGCTCTGTGTAATCTGAGTCTGAGTGCAAATTTCAGCTCTGCATAATGTGAGTCTGGGTGCAAACTCAAGCTCTGCGTAATGTGAGTCTGGGCATAAATACTGTCTCTGTGTAATATGAGTCTGGGTGTAAGTACCGGCTCTGTGTAAGGGAAATCTGAGCATAAATACCGTCTCTGTGTTATGTGAGTCTGGGTATAAATACCGTCTCTGTGTTATGTGAGTCTGGGCGTAAATATCGGCTCTGTGTAAGGAAATTCTGGGTGTAGACACCAGTTATTTAAAACGTGAGCAAGTAAGTCTTGCCTTCCCTTTTAGAGTGTTAAGTTACTTCTTGTGGCCTATGGTTTTGGTCTCTTGGTTGAAGCTTCTAACCTTCTCTGCTGTAAAATTCACTGTGTATGTAAAGTTTCATTCCCATACTATGCCAGAGGGTATGGGTGCAG